TGTTCTGGCTCACATCATGCTCTTAGGCTATGATATGAAACGGCAGGGTTCCTCATTTCTAGAGAAGTTAATATTCCTAATGACAAGGTTATAAAATATAAGTTTTTTAAAAAATTTATAACACAGGCTAGACTAAGGTTATTTCCTGACAACACTTTTTTTAGTTTCTCTTCTCTAAATCAGGCTCTAAATTCAGAATAATAAAACTATTAAGATGTATTTTATACCAAAATCATCCATGTCTGGGCACTTCGTGCACAACTGAGACAATATACTAAAATTTTGCTTTCTAACAACATGGGACTCACAGGTAAAGAAGTATTCTAGGAGGGATGCTAAAAATAATTAGGTAAAATTGGTATGCTCCACGTTTTTAAAAATAGCTTGTCAGTATTGCAAGAGCTGCCCTGTTCATCATGTCCACAATGTAAAGGAAGATGAAAGCAAAGAGAGGACCTCATCCCTCCAAGATGAGTTTTAAACAAGGCAAAGGGTTCTGTAAACCTTTCCAATGGGTAAAAGCACACTCATGTTCACGGGCAAGGTCTTGCATGATGGCTGTCAACAAGCTTATTTCCAAGATGATTTTATGCCTTTGTTTAAAATCACCTTTTACTACTGATAGTAATTTTGGTACACATCTTACTAAAAAACTGTAAGACCCTCAAGATTTCTGAATACATCCACTGTGACTATCATCCACAGAGCTCCAGCAAACACAGGGGACAAATGGAATTATCAAAAATAGGTTGGGTAAAGTAGTTGAGAAGACTAACTCTCCCTGTCCACCTTTTCTTTCCCAGGTTTTAATAGTATGTTCTTTTGAAAACAGCCATCACCTGACACTTCATGAACCTTCTCACCAGAAGGGTCATGCTCTCTGTTCCTCTCTCTTTTGTTCTGCTGTTGGAAATGAATAGATTGATCAGATCATTTGGTACTGTTCACAAGTGGTTTCTGTTCTCTCCTTTTGTTTTCCTAAAGATTCTGCCATAATTGACTGACAGGGAAGTAGACTCATGGATCTGACATCACCACCATAAACCAACGCTTGGATAATTCAACCAATCGGAGTCCCTGGTACTTGTCCAGAAAAATTCAATCCCAAAGCAAAAGATTTCTATGGAGGAAAATGCTAATGTACAAACATGTAAGAAGAAATAATTTTTAAAGAAATAGTGAAGTTGAAAAAAGGATATGATTGTGCTTATTGTGTTGGTATTTTTGGTAATGTGCTTCGTGTTCTTTTTAAAATTAGTCATATGATGTAGCCCTTTTCCTTTCCCCTGGCTCTGACTACTAACCCTCAATTTAGCTGACCACACTTGTGCCAACTGGAATAAACACTCTCTCTAAAAAAAAATTCTTGGTCAATGGGTTACTCTTTTAAGTGTCTCAACTGGTATTGTTCCCATCTACACCAAGAACAGACTCCCTACTTGATTGCTGTGTTGCTCCAACCAATGTTTCAAAGTTTATGATGAAATAGAAATTGTCTCAGATGATAGATTGTATGGAGCCAGTGCTAAATTCCTTAGAATACATCCCTCTGAACCTCATTGGAATCAGAATCATGTAAGATTCCCTATATGTTACCATTTCAAGGGAGAATATCCTATAGGCAATCACTCATTTATTCATTCATTTATTTTACATATCATAAAATTTACTCATTTAAAGTTTACAATGATTTTGCCAAACGGTGCAACCTCACTGTATTGAGTTTTAGAACATTTTCATTCAATCTCATACACACTTACAGTTAATCCTTGTTCCCAAACCCAGGCTTGGCAACCACTAATCTGCTTTCTGTCTCTATAAATTTGCCTCTTCTGGACTTTTTATACAAACTGACTTCACTTAGCATAATGTCTTTAAAATTCATCCACGACATAGCATGTGTCAGTAGTTCATTACCTTTTGTTACTGAACAGTATTACATTGTATAGATACTGCACATTTTGTCCTGGCCATTGTGGCTCAGTGGATTGAGCACCAGCTTGCAAACCACAGGATTGCTGGTTCGATTCCCAGTCAGGGCACATTCCTGGGGTGTGGGCCAGGTCCCCAGCAGGAGGTGTGTGAGAGGCAACAACACATTGCTGTTTCTCTCCCTCTCTTTCTCCCTCCCTTTCCCTCTGTCTAAAAATAAAATAAGTAAAATATTTTTTTAAAAAAAAGGTACTACACATTTCATCTATCTGTACATCAGGTGACAGATGTTTAGGTTATTCCCAGTTAGGGGCTTTTATGAATATGCTGCTATGAACATTCACATGCATATCTTTGTGTGATATATGTTCTCATTTCTCTTTAATTGCTGGGTCGTAAGGCTTTTACATTTAACTTTTGAGGCACTGCCACTGTTTTCCAAAGGATAGCTCTATTTACATTCCCATCAGCAATGTATGAGGGTTCCAATTTTTCCACATCTGTGTCAACATTTGTTATTGGCTCTCTTATTTATCAGCCATTCTAGTGGGTATGAAATGGTATATTATCGTGGTTTTAATTTGCATTTCCCTAATGATTAATGATGTTGAGCATCTTTCCATGTTCCTGTTAGCCACTTATGTACTTTCTTTGATGAAATGTCCATTTATTTCTTTCGCCCATTGTTTGACTGGGTTGCTGGTTTTCTTATTATTGAGTTGTAAGCACTCTTTGCATAGTATAACTACAAATCCTTGTCAGACTTGTGTGTGGCAAGTATTTCATCGAGTCTGTTACTTGGCTTTTAAATTTCTCAATGGTGTCTTTTAGGTAGAAAAGTTTTGAATTTTGATAATGTTCAATTTATCAGTTTTTTTCAGTGCTTTTGGTCAAGAAAAAAGTAGTAGAAGATGGTGGAAGCTTCAGCGTATGAAAGCTTTGCCTACCACAGGATCAGGAAGATGTTTTTCTGTTTTCTTCTAAAATTTCTACTGTTTTAACTGTTACATTTACCATAGCCTCTGATCCATTTTGAGTTGATTTTGCATATGACATGAGTTGAAGGTCTACATCATCTTTTTTTCACGTGGGCAATCAATTGTCCCAGCACACTGTCAAACAGACAATCGTTTCTCCCAATGAATTTCTTTAGCAACTTTGTCAAAAATCAATTAAATATGAATATAAGGATTTATTTCTGGCTCTGATTCTGTTCCATTAATCAATGTATCTTCCTTATGCTAGGACTACTGCTCTAGGTCTTGATATGAAAAATTATTAATACTTTCTGTAAGATAATGACTTCTAAGCACTTGAGGATGGCAGCTATAGAAGTGGGAATCAGACAAGTACTATATATAAATGGTTCACAAACAGCAAACTAGACCTTTGTTAAGGTATGTTGTACTGAGGTAATTCTAATCTTAAGTTTCACTAATTCTAACATATCTGTAAACAACTCATATCTGTAGTGTCACTGATTCTGTAGAAAATGTGATACGTCAATTGGCCTCGTTCACAAGACTGTTTAGGATGGTAGCCAGTGGATGGCTCCACTTTTCATGTTGTTAGAATTGATCTTCCTTATTAACATGACAAAACAAAAAAAAATTTGTTAATCCTCACATGAGGATATGTTTAGTGATTTGAGAGAGAGAGAAATATTGATGTGAGCTAGAAACATTGATTTGTTGCCTCCCACACACGCCCCGACTAGGATTGAACCTGGAGCTTTTTGGTGTACAGGACAACGCTCCAATTAACTGAGCCACCTGGCCAGGGCAAAAAAATTAAACTGTAACCATGACCATGCCAGATATATACTGACCATAACAATCTCTGTAGTAGTCATTAGTTCTGTTGACAAACATTCTGATTCCCCTCTCCTTCCAGGCACATGTAGGACTGCACTTTCCTGGACTTCTTAAAGTTAGTCATGGTCATAACGTGAACGGGCCGACAGCATAAGTGAGCGGTGGAAGTGTGAAGAGCCTCGATGGAACTCGCCAAGTTCCCTTCTCCTGCCTTGTGGAACTCTGTGATGAGGTGGAGCCTCCATCATCCTGGGTCTCTGAGCGCCGAACAGAATCCCCTGACAACCCCCTTTAATCACTGTGGCTCGAGCAAGACATACATGCTAGTTGTGTTAAGCCACTGAGATATCAGGGATGGCCCTGTAACATAACCCGGCTTATTACAACCGCTACAAACTACACTCAGTGTGAGGTCACTGCCTAAAAATCTGTCACGTCTTTGGTTTGGAACCTGCTCTAGGAGTCTAGGCTTGGGATCCAGTCCTAGCTCTGCCAGAACAGCTCAGGTCCCGTTACTCTGACCGGGCGTGGGTCCAGTCTCCCTTCAAGACGCACGTATTTGCCCACTCCACTGGGGGAAGAGCTTGTTCCCAGGAGCCAGGTTGCCTGGAGTGGAATCCCAGCTCTTACGCAGACGGGGACTTTGGCCACGTTCCTGAATTTATGTGCCAGTCTTCGCATACGTAAAATGCAGACAACAGTGTCTATACCCTATGGGGATAAATACAAAGCGTTTAGCATCTAGGAGAATGCCCGGCAGGTAGTGCTTTGAGCATATGGGCTAGAGAGGGCCAGGGCTCTTGCTGGACCCTTCACTCCTTCCCAGTCAGCCATCCAGAGCATGCTGGGCGCCCCCATTCCCCTCGCTTCTACTGGACAGCTGAGCACAGGGCAGAATAGTCAACCCCGGGAGGCTTGCTTCCAATTCAAATGACAAAACCCCGGGTCTCACTCTAGATCGGAGCTGCAGTGAAAAATGAAATTGAAAACTGAGTATGTCCTCGGTTAGAAGAATGGTTAACTGTCTGAAAAATGCATAGCCAGGATCAGAGCTGGGAACTGACCGAGTCCCACCGGCTTCAGTGAATGGAAACTGGGAAGCAGAAGTCACACTCTCATTCACCCCCAAACAGTTTGCAAGACACACGCGGGATATCTGGTTTATTCTAACCGGGGGCCGAGTTTCCACCGCGGGAGCTGAGCTGTGGGGCTGAACTGGGCAGGGATGTGCAGGTGTCAGAAGGTGGAAGGATCTCAGCTGAGCGCCAGCAACGACATTAGGGCCAGGCCAAACAGGGCGGGCCAGACCCCGTGGAGCCCAGCCCCACTCATGGCCGCGGCATAGAACCTGGCCACCTCCTCGTTGGGGTTGCCCTGGGCCGGATCGAACCACATCTGGATGCAGCGGCCGCTCCCTCGGCTGTAGTTGCTGACTTCGTAGGAGTGACTCCAGATTTCATTGCACAGAGCAGCAGGCGTGGGGAAGTAGAAGTGAAAGGGGTGGCAGGAGTCCTTCACCGGGCACTGATTGAACCCTGTGGAAGGATGGAAGGCCTCAGCCACCCAGATCCACCCCTGGGCCTGCTGGCCTCACAGCTCTACCCCTTCGCATACCTGCCTCACACCCCCACCCTCCACCTCCCGATTCCTCCCTCCCCCCCTGCCCGGGCCTCACCTGAGGTCCAGTTCCAGCCCTTGTGCCAGTTGCTCTTGCAGGTGTAGGAGGTGCGGCAGTCTTCCCACCAGCTCTCACAGTCCTCTTTGCACAGGGGCACGTTCAGGACCCGCTCTTTGCGCCAGCTCTGGTTCACCTGGGGGATGTGCGGAGGGGAAAAGGGCTCAGACTCAGGATTCTCAGCAGCCCAGCCCTGAAGAGCGCCAGAGGGGGCGAGGCAGAGTGAGGAGATGTCTGGGACGCAGACGTGGGGGGGCGCTGCACCTGCCGGATCCAGGGCCCCAGGTTGGGGGAGCACTCATACAGGCAGGTGTCCTGGATGAAGTGGCGCTTGCAGGCGGGCTCCATGGGGCCACAGTGGTCCCAGTTGAATCTGTACAGGTAGGAAACATCCTTATGGGCTTCCTGGCTGGTGCTGACAGAACAGCAGGAGTTCTTCTTCCAGGGGCTGCACTGGAGAGAGAAGACACAGGACTAAGTTCCAGTCCCAGCACAGACTACAGTCATACCTCAGTACTCTTTGGCTTCAGAACTCGTCACACCCTGTACTCTTCACATTTTGACAAGGAAAAATGTCTCAACACTCTTGCACGTTCTTGGTAGAACAAGTATTAGTCACGAAGCCACCCTGCGAGAGAAAATGCTTCATCGGTAATCGTCGGTTTTGCCACTCCTCAGAGGTTCCTGAATGAATGCATGACAAGCACTGAGGTATCACTGTCTCTCCAAGGCAGCTTCTCCCTTTTGAGTTCTTAGTCCCCCAATGCAGCCTTTCAGGGAAATACTTGCTGTTAGGGGGCCCTCTTTTGGGGAGGCGCAGTCATTACAAAATTAATTCATTCAAATCTTTATTGAGCTGCTACTTGCTCTAAACCAGGCATTTTTCTAAGAACTGAGGACACAGCAGGTAACACTTCTCACAGGATAATTGCTTGGGGAAAGAAAAAAAACTAAAGTAAGGTAAAGGGATGGGAATTTGCGATTTTGTAGGATGATCCAATTAAGCCTCATTGAGAAGGTGACAGAGACCAGTAGGTGAGAAAACAAGCTGAAAAGATTTTAATCCCAGAATAGCTGTAATTACATAAATGCTCAATACATTCCTTTTTCAAAAAATATTTTATTTATTTATTTTTAGAGAGAGGGGAAGGAGGGAGAAAGAGAAGGAGAGAATCATTGATGTGTGAGAGAAACATAAACTGGTTGCCTCTTACATGCCCCCAACTGGGGACCTGGCCCACAACCTGGGCATGTGCCCTGACTGGGAATTGAATCAGTGAACTTCCAGTTCGCAGGCTTACGCTCAATTCACTGAGCCACATCAGCCCGGGCACATTCTTATTGAATGAATGGCAACCAACGGCTTAGGATTTAATACAAAACAAAATAATAAAATGTGCACTTTAAAATACATATATAGGCTGCGCCCTGAGCAGTATAGCTCAGTTAGTTGGTTGGCTGTCATCTTGCAAAGTCACTGAAAGGTCATTGTTTTGATTCCTGATCAGGGCACATACATACCTGGGTTGAGGCCCGATGTTTCTCTCCCTCGTTCTCTCCCTCCCTTCCCCTCTAAGAATAAATAAATACAATTAAAAAAATAAAATATATATAGGTTGAAGAAATTAAAGTCAATACTGCGGGAAGTATCCAAGCTATACCACTAAGTGTCAGTCCACACTGGGAGTTGTTGCTCAGTGATCCAAACGAACCCAGACAGGGGACTGAGATAATTACCGGCTAAGGATTCACAAAGAACATTTACATATTGGGACGCATATTACAAATGACTTCCTTTTGTTTTTTATTTATAGTTTTGGCACCATATTGATTTTTTATAATGTTTATATAGGTTTAGGTTATTAAAGAGTTTGTGGCAAAATAATTGTCATAGGTAGGAGACCTCAGGTCCAGTGGGGTAGAGAACCCCAGGTAGATGCCGAAACGTTTGCTAGAGGCAGGAACCAAGCTGCCCCACCCCCAGCCTCAGGACTGGGAGATCCACTTTTCCTGAGCTCTTTGGGGCTGGCAGAAGCCACTGTGTGCAGCATGCGCTTTCTCCTCTCTGAGCCTTGGAGGGGGGCAACCCCAGTCTAAACTGAAATCCAGATGGACTGCGGTAGGAGTCTGCCCAGAGTCACTTTCCAGGCTCTCTGTTGGGCCTGCGTCCTGATTTGTATGAGACAGAAACCCAACCTCCAAGAAGCTGAGCTGTTAGCAGTGTACTGGGAACACTGGCACAGTTTATGTTAAACATATAGGCACCCAGATTAGTTTTCTTTTAGATTTTTTTTTTTAAGAGATTTCTCAGATTTTTATTGTGATGACAAAAATCACACAGGGAAGAACAAATTACAACCGACAAAATGGGGAGTGAGATGTGGGCTGGGAAACATGGGGAAGGGGCGCCCACAGTCCCTGGGATGCTTCCTGGAACCTTGGGTTTCCTTCCAGGGCTCCCAAGGACATTGAGCGCCTCCTTGAAGTCCCCCAGGGGTCCCGTGGAGTGGAGTTTAAGAGGCAACACTGTAGGCCAAGGTCTGTCTCCTCAGGCATGGAGAGGGTTTACCATTTCATCTCCGCTTTTTCCGTCCTGAGTCAGTTCCTCCCTACCCCAGACCACCCCTCCTTGACCTGAGCCCACCTGTTCAGGCAGCTCCTCTTCCGGGCTTGGCTTTTCCTTGTGGTGCTTGGCGTCCATGCAGACATTGAGAAGCTCAGCCCCCGGCCGGGCTGCCCGTACTGCGGCCCCCCACACCAGAAGGAGCAACAGCTGTGTTATCATTGTAAAGGCCATGTCAGTCCCTGAAGGAAGAGCTGTGGTCAGTGACATCAAGGAACGTAAAGGTGGGGCTTAAAAGTTTTGGAATAGATCCAGGTGGGCGGAACCTTGAGGAAGCCCGGGGGCGGTTTACACCCCACCCCCACACCTCAGCCTTCCCGGCCTCAGTGAAGGGTGGGATCAGACACCACCTGGGGACAGTTCTTGGCTGGGGCCTCACTGACTTCTCCTGATCAAGTGATACAACTAAGGGACGGGGATTGGACAAAATGCAGAAATAGCCAGGAGATTGCCGTAGGCCCTCTATCCCTTGTTCAAAATCCTTGGAGGCAAATGTTTCAGAGTTTAAAATTTTATGATTTTATAAAAGGTCACACAAACACTCAGCATGCAATCAACAACCAGACACACATTCTGTGGTGAAACAGTTACACTGGTGGGATAAATAAAAACTATAATAGCCCTGGCCAGGTGACTCAGTTGGCTGGAGGGCTGTCTCATCCACCAAAATGTTGTTGGTTTGATCTCCCAGTAAGGGCAGGTAACAATGTTTCTCTCTCTCTCTTTAAAATCAATAAACATATCCTTGGGTGAGGATAAAAAAACTATATTAATTTCAGGTCAGATTTTGACACGCAATGACTTTGCAAAAGTTTCCAGTATCTTCCTTTTGGAGCTCCAGATAAGTTGCAGATCTTTGTTTGTTTCCCTCATTACCATGTATTCATTCATTCATTCATTCATTCATTTATTTTAAAAAGCCTTGGTTCCTGCCCTTACCATCCTTATCATTTGCTCCCTCCCAGAGCCCGTGTGGCCCGGGCAATGTCGCAGGCCCCAGGGGTGTGGTGGGTGGGCATTGACAGACGCTGGGCAGCCCCTGGGGCTTTGGGAGGCTCCTGAGCCCTGTGCCACAGAGCTGGACTCCGTTCAGCCACCAAAGCACTTCAGTCCTCAGACCTCAGGCCCTGAGCTTTGGGAGCTAACTGCTCCCTCAGTCCACCGGTGAGCAGGTGCCTGGCCCTCTAAAACACTCATTTGCCACAGCTCCTAAAGCTTCTGTGCCCCTCTGCTCACTAAGTTGCCTGTCTCCACGTCGCCCCATCTTCTGTCGAACTCAGGTGTCTTGCCTGGGCCTCGTGGACAGGACGCGCACTGGGCAGCCCCCAGGTTGACTGCCCAGCAGGGTTCAGAGGAACCTGGAACTGAATTGCCACCTAGCTCTCCCCCTTCTCCTCCTCAACCCCTCCCTCAGCCCTGCCCACCCAAGAAATATCCGAACCTATAGAGAATTTTATGAGTTAATTTCAGTCAAGCAGGGGATAGGCCCGGAAGCAAGATTTCAAAAGACTGAAAAAAAAAATGTTTCGTAAAATAACAGTTCGCAGTCTCTTTTATGATTAAGGAGGGAAGGTAAGGAAGATTACATGAAGGGGGAAGAAAGCAGGTGGGATGAGATTACCTCTTGCAAGCTTTAGAATGGGCATCTGAAAGGGTTGTCGGGTATAATTAGGAGAAGGGGTCTGAAAGGGGGCATTTAAAGGGCGTTAACCTAGATACACAGAAACCATGGACAGGTTTGCTTAAGGCAAAGATATCCTCTTAGTAAAGAAGTTATATATGGCTGGGGTGTGACTAACCCACAATGACCTGCCTAGTTAGGAATTTATCAGATCACCCTGTGAGGTTACTTTCCATAGAACCCCACTTTTTTGTCCATACCTCACCTCCTTCCATAATTGCATTTTGCTTCTCTGCCTATTCCAGTGTTCATTCATTCTATCACTTGCTAATCCATTCATTTCAGGACCCAGTCTGTACTCTCGGGGACTACGAGGTGATTCCTTGGGGAAGCAAATCTAGCAGTTTAGAGCACAGGGTTTCAGATCAGCCTGTGCACAATCCCAGCCCTCACACTCACCTCCTACTTGACCTGGGGGAACAAATAACTCAAATTATCTTGAGGCTTTGTGTTGTCATCTGAGGATTAAATGTGTGTGTTGTGGTGGGGGAACCCCAACAAATGATAGCCAGGTGGGTGCAGTTGGAGTGATGTGCTCCAAGTCACAGAACAGGGGCCCCCCCAAGCCTGGGATCCTCAAGTTCAGAGTTCCTTCAGTTTTTGCCCCTTGTACCTTCTCTGTGCGGAGGCTCTCATGGCGGCAACTGCTGCAGAGCACCGGCGGAGTCCTGAGCTGGGGGCCGAGAAAGCGCTTTCCCTAGGTCCTGTTGGATCCCAGCTGGTCAGCCAGTAGTTTTCCTTACTGTGGCTGCTTTCTAGAGTCAGAGTCTCTTCCTCTCTGCGCCTCCTATGTCACTCTACAAGCCTCTCTCCCCACTTTCCTAAGCTCGGCTTCAGATCTTGGACTAGGTAGGCCCCCACTACCACCCACAACCATCACCCTCAACACACACACACACACACACACACACACACACACACACACACACACACACACACACCCCGCAGGGCCCCAGACTTAAAGCACTCAGAACTCCGTGCTGCGCTGAGAGGCAAGAGCCCTGGGTTCTAATTCAGCAACAGGCACTAACTTGTAGTTTAACCTTAGGCAGGCCCTGCTCTGCTCTGGTCTCAGCCTCCACTTCTGGATTCTCTGCACTTTAGGCAAAGGGGACCCTCCCAATTCAGCAAACCCTTTAACACGTGCTGAGAGCACCACAGGGCTGTTCCCTGTGATGAGGGGCAGGGAGCGGCCTACCTGGGCATGGGGGTGGCTCTCCTACGCTCAGGCTTCTGCTCTGCTCTACAGCTCCTCCCTCCCCCTTACTTCAGGAATGGCTGTGGTTTCGTGGCCTAGGAGACGGGCATTTGGTCAGGCAGTGGGCATGTGGCCCAGGAGTGGAGCCTAGGATTGGGCGAAGGCCACTCAGCAGTTAATTATTGCATGTGGTCACAAGCCGGGCCTCCATGGGAGGGGGTGAATCAATAATGCGAGCCTAATAATAATAATAATAACAACAATTATAAGAATACTAATGTGGGCCTAAGGCCAGTCCTAGCTCCTCTTACCCCTTATTCTCCCCAAAACTCAGGTCTGATAAAACCTTGCAGTACAAGTTGCCAGATTCTTCCAAATAATTGGGTCTACTTCCAACGTCCCTGTCCTGTGATATAGATGAGAATGAGACTCAGGGAATCAGGACAGAGCCAATTGCAGGGCAAGGGCTGGAGTGCAGGCTTCGGAGCTCCCAGCTGTAAAGAGCAAAGAGCTCCTGTGTCTCCAATTTACGGAGCCACCACCTCCTCCAACCTCATCAGCCCCAGGCATCGCTTACCTCCAGCTGCAAAATCATAGACATTCCTTCGTTTGATGACCAGAGCCTCATTTGTGCCACGATTCCAGCTCTCCTGACACAGTCTACTCAGCCAACCACCTACACAGCTATCCTTTTGACAGCATCTAAGAGTCTGGTCTAATGTAGACTCTGACCACTTCCACCCCAGCCAAGGACAGAAGCCTTCCTTTTTTCACCCCCTGAGACAGAGGTAATACCACTGGTGGAAGGAAGGGAAGGGCACATTTGTGCAGAAAATATGCTGAACTTAGTTTTGTCAAGGGGCTTGTGTGCAACCCAGGGGAAGGTGGTTGCAGATGTGGGAGCCATCAGCCTGTGGATGACAGTGGAAGGTAAGGAAAGATGGGGTCCCAATATCTTCTGGAAGGCCACAGGTCTAGACCCCTGGGGCAGGATGGGTGGAGGATCAGAGGAGGCTGCTGGATCACTGGAAGAAAATCAGCCAAGAAAGGAGGCCCTAAAGGGTTTGCAAAGAAATGGAGTCTCAGCTCATTCCCTGCGCGCTCACACACACACTCTCTCTCTCAGTAAGTCTTACCTGAATCCTGTAACAACCAGAGAGGAGTAAGCCCTCGGAAGATCTCAGCAGGTAGAGAGCCACCGGAACCCTTAGGCCTCCCTCCTGACTTTACTAGCCTAGCTCAGCCTTCTCCTGATTGGAGGATGACCAGGTGTCTAGGACCACCTAGACCACTTAGATCACATGTGAAAATTCCTCAAGATGGGATTTACTCCTGTTCCTCGTCCTCCTCCTGTGCTCTGGTGGCTGATCATTTGTGAGCTTAAGCCCCTCCTCCACCACAGGAATGAAGTTTGGCCCCTGAGTCAGGGCCCTGAGCCCTGAGGGCTTCAGAAGTAACCGGCAAACGGGGACGCTGAGTTAGAAGTGGAGTTCTGAGCTGTGGGGAGTCCCTTCTCTTGTTGAGCCTCATGTCCTTCTTGAGGTAAGAAACATCCAAACCTGTGGAGAATTTTTATGAGTTTTTTGAGCCAAAACAGACAACAATTGATGGGAAGCAAGATCTCAAATGCTCCGGAGAATAACACTTTTGCAGTTTTTTTAAAGCATTTTAAATTTAGGAGGGAAGTAAGGAAGATTACATGAAGTTGGGAAAAAGCAATGCATGGATTAGATTACAGGACAGTTAAGATGTGTTCTCTTTAGGGTTGGTTACCACTTATTTCAAAGGTATATTAACCCAGATGCACAAAAACAATGGGCAGAGCTTGCTTTAGGGAAAGATAAAGCCGTTTCTAAAAAGTTATAGGCTTGGGGTGTGACTACCCACCAGGAACTGCCCGGTTAGGAATTTATAATCAGATCACCTTATAATCAGATCTACTGCATCTGGGGCCTGGGTGCTAGGGCCCCCTGGCCAACAGGGAGAAACAGGATCAAGCAGCCACCCTACAGCCATTTCCAAGTATCTGCTCATACGGAAGCTTAAAACCAGCAAGATTAGTCACACAAAAATATCAGGAAGCTGTTTGACCTGCACAGGTGGAAGCTCTGGGCTTCCGGGAGTGGGGGTGGGAGAAACCAGAGCTTTTCCCGAGTGCCCAATTCATCACAGATGCACAATTGCAGCTGCTTCTCACCCACCCTCACAGCTGTGGAATGGGTCGTTCGCAGGCAGCGAGGAGGGGCTAAGGTTCAGATCTGAGCGTGATTCCAAGCCCAGCTTCTTTCACAAAGGAAGGGCAGCTCTGGGAGGAGCTCTCAGGGCATCAGCCTAAGAATTGCTGATCCAGTGTTTCTTCTCCGGGCTCACTTCTTTCCCTTACCCTCTTAACTTCTATCTTAGCTACCTAGAAATTCTGCTTGCCCTTCCATTACCTCCAAGCCTTTGCTGAACCCTCTCCATGAAAGGCTGTTTCTCCTGCCATTTTCTGCTTGGCAAGCATGCCTCCTCTGGAAGCCTTCCCTGACCTCTCTGTGCTTTTGCAGAACTACACCACACTCTGGGCTTCCTTGTAGCAAAACCTCAGCCGCTTATTTTCTAAGAGTTACTTGTTCTCAGGTCCATCTGCCCCCACCAGATGTTCAAGGTACTCAATTTCCTCCCTGTTAGTGGAGACCAGCAGACTGGGTGCTAAGAAAGCCTCTGTGGACTGACAGGGTGAGGCACTGATTCCCTAACTTCCTGAGCACCTCCTTTGTGCCAGGTACTGACCCAGGCCCCGGGCGACATGGCACAAATGACAAAGACATGGCCCCTGCTTTCAGATATATGTTTTGTTAGGGAAAAGCCAGACAGTACACACAGTAGGTCTGTATCTCTGCGCGGAGACTAAATCGCGGTGACCAGGAAGTGCCTGGAGGCGCTCTCACTCCGTGGAGCGCCCCCACGCCTTTCCCCTCCCCCGCTTCTTTCCATCAGGAGGAAAAAAAGAAAGGAAAAAAGTGCCTGGAAGACCGCTTTTGTTTAGGTGGTCAGAAGTCATTTTAGAGGGAAATTTTAAGTTGAAATCTAAGTGGCTAGCAGGAAAAAAACATGCCAATGATAAAAGAACATTCCAGGAGCACAGGGAGGGAATTGCTGGAGTAAGGGCCCCAAGGTGAAAAATGTGAATGGAGCTCATTCATGGAGGTATGGAGGGGAAATAATTTGACATGTAATCCAAGTAGGGGGAATGGGCAGGGCCTTCTCCAGTTTAGAAGAAGTTTGGCTTTTCCAACAGATACCATGGAAAAGCAGCAAAGGGTTGGGGAAGAGCTATCATCTAAGAAGACAATTTTGGTGTATGTTTTTACTTTTTAAAAAAAAAGTCCATCAGATAGTAGAACCGATGGGTTAAAGTTTGCTGACAAATAGGATATCTGTAGTTCTCAAAGTACCTCCCAACAATATACATATTATTTATAAAGGGGGAAAAAGTAGTAAATAAACCTGGAAGACCCAATATCAACCAAAAGATCAGTTAACATCCTCAGAGCAGACACACCTGACACCATATGCCTCCCATTGTGATTCAACAAGAGGGACAGACTCTGACTTCTGGGATATTTGTGTCAAAAATGCACAGCCTCAATCTAGTGATGAGGAAATAGATAAACTCAAAATGAGGGATATTCTACAAAATAACTGGCCTGTGCTTTTCAAAAATGTCAATATCATAAAAGAACCTCTTTCCCTCAAATATTCATCAGTAGGTGATGAAATAAAGGTGACATATACATAGAATAGATTATTGTACAGCAATTAAAAAATATGAACTATACCTCAATAAATTGGTATAGAAATATCTTAGAAACTGTGTTCTCATGCGAAGGCACATGGCAAATGAAAAACTACAGCTATCAGCTTAGCAGAAAATCAGGAGTTTGACACCATACCGTGTTGACTAGGCTGGAGGAAACAGGCACTCATATATTGCTGGCAGGGGCCACAATGGCACAACCCCTGGAAAGTAGTAACTATGAAAATTAGGAATCCATATACTCCTTGACCCAGCAATCTCTCTTCTGAAATTCAAGTATAACATTCAACTATGTACAAGCTTATTCATGTAGCATTATTGGTCATGTTTTAAAAAGGAAATAATGCAAGTGTTCATCATCGAGACCCTTCCACCAATATTTCCTTCCCTGGCCACATCTAGTAGAAGGATGTGGAAAAAGACATTTTTCCCACCAGAAGCCCAATAACTTATCTGTCAATTTCTGCCCACCTTCCCTACACCAATCCCCTTGTTCTGTTGTGATGCAAAAAAAGATGAACTTGATATGAGAGAAGCCTGGTGAAGAAGTAAGAGGCCCGACTAAGGGATCAAGTTACACTCCCTACTTGCTGGTGAATTTCAAGCTAGTCCCAGTCCGTCTTGGATCCTCTCAGCAGGAATGGTGAACCAGTGAGGTATGTTCCACCCCAGAACCCATACATCCCCAAATTATTTACAAGATACAAGACACATGTGGATCTCTCCATTTGAATAGGCTGTCACAGGAACCCCATAGGACCCATCATGGATAAGGAACCAATGACACGGGCATTATGAGGCCCCCTGATTGAGAGAGCTGGCTGAACTGTGCTGAGCTGAGGTCACCCGGGCTGGATGCAAGCAGGGAAAATGTCCATGTATCAGCAGAAGGAGCAACTTAGCTAACGAGCCAGAGTTGCAGCATCAGGGCTAGGCTGAGCAGGAGAGGCCCAATCCCATGGGCCGTGGCCCTAGAATCCATGGCCGAGGCATAAAACATAGCCACCTCCTCATTGGGGTTGCCCTGGGCCGGGTCAAACCACATCTGGATGCAGCGGCCGCTCCCTTGGCCATAGTTGCTGACTTTGTAGGAGTGACTCCAGATGCCCTCACACAGGGCGACAGGCGTGGGGAAGTAGGACTCAAAAGTGCGGCAGACAGCTTCCGCTGGACACTTGTTAGATCCTGCAGGAGGAGAGAGGGTAGAACAGACATTCAGCCCCTGGTTACCCCAGAAATATTCACGCGATCCCAGATGCGCAAACTGCCTTTGTCAAAACCCTCCCTCAGTCTCCCCACCTGCCTGGCCCTCACCTGAGGTCCAGTTCCAGCCCTTGTGCCAGTTGGTCTTGCAGGTGTAGGAGGTGCGGCAGTCTTCCCACCAGCTCTGACAGTCCTCTGGGCACAGGGGCACGTTCAGGAAACGTTCTTTGCGCCAGCTCTGGTTCACCTGGGTGGGCGGTGGGGGGGGGCGTGGGAAGGCTCCTCTCAGCCAGGCATGTTGGCAGCCACAGGCTTGACGGAGCCGAAGGGCAGCCTGCTGGGGGTGGGGGGGGAGCGAGGCAGATTCCCATACCTGCTGGATCCAGGGCCCCAGGTTGGGGGAGCACTCGTAGAGACAGGTGTCCTGGATGAAGTGGCGCTTGCAGGCGGGCTCCATCTTGCCGCAGTGGTCCCAGTTAAAGTTATACAGGAGGGAGGTGTCCTTGTGCAGCTCCTGGCTGGTGCTGACGGAGCAGCAGGCGTTCTTCTTCCAGGGACTGCACTGCGGGGGAGGATGTGGCACCAAGCCCTTCCCCTACCACAAACTTGGGCCGCATCTAGTCCCTCCCCATTTGGTTCTTGCTCTCCTGCCCCAGGTAGGTTGCCCTAGAAATGCTCACTGTGAGGACCCCTCTTTTCCTGGCCTCCAGGGATTTACATCTTGGGGGACACTCAGTTATAACAACATGAACAGTGTTTTGTGGGAGCCTGGGAGAAACCCTGACTTGCTTTTATTTGTTTTTTTTAAATGTCAAGATTCATTATAAAATATTTAAAAACTTACATCCATTGTAAAGTCTCAGCAATTAAAACAACTTGACACCCGCATAAAAGTAATCAAGGAGATCAATGAAATAAAATGAGCATTCTAGAAACAAATGTATATATCTGTCTAACAATGTAATACATGATTAAATTGATAGTTCAAATCAATGGGGAAAATAAGGTATTCAACAAATAAGGTGCATGGACCACTATTACTTGAAATAAAACAAATATAGAGCCCTATTTCACACATTATACAAATAAATATTCAGGTGTGTTAAAATCAATGTGTAAAATCTAAGGAGTTCTCGGAGAAAATTCAAAATAATATTTTTCTTACCCTGTAGTAACATACTCAAACCCAGAAGAAACCCTGACTTGGGAGGACAGTAAACTAACATTTATACTGCTATTGACACTTTATTAACAGTCTTAGATTTATTTATTAAAAATATATTACTGAGGTCCTGGCTGGTATGGCTCAGTGGATTGAGTGCCGGCCTGCGAACCTGGAGGTCACTCGCTTGATCCCTGGTCAGAGCACATGCGTGGGTTGCCGACCAGATGCCCATCTGGGGGCATGCGAAAGGCAACCAGTCGATGTTTCTCTCACACATCAATGTTTCTCTCCCTCTCTTTCTCCCTCCCTCCCTCCTCTCTAAAAATAAATAAATAAATAATCTATTATATATACACATTAATACATGTATATATACCATAAACAACTATATACCACAGTGTAGCATGTTTTTCATATAATATACACATATAATGTGTGTGTGTGTATATAAAATGTATAGAACTGAGTAACTATTCTATGCAACCACTGTTCTAGACAAAATACAGCAGACAAAAAAACAGAGAAAAATGTGTTCATGAATCTTACATTCTGGTCAGGAGAGACAGACAGTAGGACACTAAAAGAGAAAACATGATTGTAAGGATATGACCCATTAAAAAAGGAAATCTACAGCAGGGAATGAGCATGTGGAATAAGGGGTGATTGATAAAATCTTAGATACGGTGGTTTGAAAAGCCATTGGAAGGTGACGTTCTGAGTAAAGGAGGAAGGAGTGAGCGGTGCGGTAATACATTGCTGATAACCGTATTCTTGGCAAGTCTTAAAGTCTGCGTCACCCACACCACCCGCCAGCGGCTGGGCCAGTACCAGGGCCAGTACCAGGCACATAGCAGGCCCACAGAAACGAGGGCTAAACGAGTAAATTAAGGACGTACTTATGCTTTTCTAATCTAAAACTGAACTTTATCTACCATGCATATATACCATAGTTTAGCGTGTTTTTTATATGATATAGACCAGATTCTCCAGGGGGAAAAAAACCCCAAACAAACCATGAAGTGAAAGGCTGTATTGTACGTTTTGCATTACTGGAGTTAATCACTAATGTAGACAATTGTGTCAACCATGGCAACACCGCTTAGAGTAGCTCATAGCATTTACGTTGCCAGTAGAATACACCTGTTTCATTCTTCCTTTGTAGCTGCCCCATTCATAGTGATTTTGCGCATAAAAGAAAAATGCTTGTTCACAATGACTCCTGACGTAGCCATGCCAAGAACTGGCATGTGGAAATGTAGGTGTTGTATTATAAAGTACTTTCTTTTGGTTTCTCCTTTGCATTACAGGTGGTTATGTTGATATTTTTTAAAATATATGTGCATAGATTCTGTTAGCTTCAAATATCCCTACAGGATAGAAAAGAGAGTTGAAACAGTATTTGTCATAAATGGAGACATGGAGCCTAATATGGTTGCAACCAAGGGGCATAAATATCTATAGACTCTGTGAAAGGACAACGCTGGTGCCCTGTGTCACAGTCATAGGAGGCGCCCTGCGTGGCCCTCAGCACTCCATGGGACCGGCCCTCGTGAAAGTAGGACCAACTATCCACCCCAGACCCGGCGGTGTCTGCCCAGTCCTAACGCTGCCCCGCTAGGAGGGCTGGCCGCATGCACTTCCTCTGTGTGTCCATATTCTCCTCCGGGCCCCAGTTTCCTCATTCGTGTCACGCGGAAAATGTGATCAACCTACTCCCAAGGATCACTGGAGAAATGAGATCACGTACATAAAACACATGACACCCAGTAGGTACTCGATACCTGATTATTCCATATCATTGCTGACGTTGCATCCTGTCTGAGGAGGCCACTCCTAAAATCTCCTGCACATTCCCCAACCCCTGACTTCTTAGCAATAACTCAAGTATGGGGAGTCTGAACCCTCATCCCTTGCGGCCCCACCCAAACTTCCTCTCCCCTGTCAGAACCAGGCCCCTCCCCAGTCAGGGCCACACGCCAGCCATACCGTACCTGGTCGTGGAGCTTGTCTTCGGGGCCGGGCTTTGCCTTGTGGTGTTTGGCGTCCATGCAGACGTTGAGCAGGTCTGCCCGGTCTCGGGGCGCTGCACGTGGCGGCTAAAAGCCAGGCCAGCAGCAGCAGAGGTGCTGTCCGTTCCCAGGCCATGTCCTTCTGTCCCTGCAGAGGAGGCTGTGGTTAGGGGAACAGGGCCTGAGGGGAGAGAGCCCCATGCGGGGCGCTGCCTTCACCCCTGTCTCAGTCTCCCCCTCTGCACAGTGAAGGGTGGGGTCCGACCTTGTTCCTTCAGTGCTGAGGTCCGGAGGCTGGCGCCCTGGAGCTGAGGTCTGAGGTCCAAGAGGCTGGCAAAGGAGCTCCCTCACTCCAGCCTGGGAGGGCCAAGAAGGGGATCTGGGGTTAGTAGGTGGGGCCTGCGGGACTGTTCCCAAGTTGAAGAAGATGTCTTGCGCCCACACCTTCTCTCTGGACTTTACCTTAAAAACGGAATTAAATAGGTCGAGTCCCTGTTTCCTGAAAAGGGCCCCGGACGCACAGCATCCTTATCCTCTGCCCAGCAAGTGCTCTGTCCTTACAGCCTGGGCCACATGTGTACACCCCACCCCTGCCCCAGCTTAGAAACCCCGCTGTCCTGCGGAAAGCAGTGGCCCAGCTCGGCAGAGTGCTCCAAATCAACATGAGGAAGGACCAAGTGGTTTCACTCACAAACAGGATTCTGTTTGCTTAAATGCCACAGAAATGGAAAGAGTGGTCGTTTTTAAGCAGCTTTGTCCCACAGACTTTTTCCTTCCCTATTTCCTGAAAGCCCTTTCCTCCCTCCGCCCCATCGTGTCCTTGGTCTGCTCAGCTCTCTCTGAGGGCTGGACTGAGGCTCCAGATCACCACCTTACTCCTTAAAAACCAACCGACCTACCAACCAACCAACCAATGCAGAGACCCTTGAACTGGAAGGACAATATAAAAGTCTGCCATGTTAAAGGAGCCCACCAGACAGGCACTGAGCGTCAAGAGAGGCACCTGGCAAAAACGGCAGCCCCTTCTGTCCGTGACTGCCCGCCACCCCCATCCCCACCCATCACAGACGTGTTCCTTTGGGCTCAGTCGCGGAATTAGCCAGGAGTTGCTAAGACGCCCGTTCCGCTCCCTCACCACTCGCTCGCACGTGCAGTTGATCGCCAAGCCCTGGCAAGGGTCCCTCTGAAAACCTTCCTAGAATTCACTTCCTTTAACTCTGCGTTTGGGGCCAGGTCTTCCCTCCTCCAGTTGCTTCCCCTTCCAGTCACTTTCCCCACAAGAGCGAGAGTGCCCTTCCTAAAGAAAGACACGCCCCTCTCCTCTGCACAGACCCACCAAGGCGCCCCAGGGCCCCTGTCACCCTCCCCCCTCAGGGCTTCTTGCCTGAGCCACCTTTGCTGCTGGGACACCCTCTGTTGTGTCTGGACCGTCCCCTCCCCGAGCTGATGACAGCTCCGCAGCCCTACCCTGCACTGTCCCCACTGGTCCCCGTCCTCAGGGCAGGATACACTGTGAGAGCCCCGAGTGCGCTTATGCTTCTGCACAGAATGTGCCCTGCAGTAAGCAATTTCAGTTCCTTCTTGCCTGCCTGGCCCCACCCTCTTCAAGGCTCCTGTAGTCTGTCAGCTTAGGCAATCAGTTTGATTTCATCTTTTTATTTGTTAATTTACTCATGCCAAGACCCGCACCTTCAACGTTCATCAAAATCTAGAGAACCCCTCATCTGCTAGGGCCGATCTGAATTGTTGAGGTTGCCCAAGTGGCTGTTATGGATAAAGATACCTTGCCCTGGCTGGTGTGGCTCAGTGGATTGAGCCTGGACTGTGAAGCAAAGGGTGGCTGGTTCGATTCCCAGTCAGGCCACATGCCCAGGTTGCAGGCCAGGTCCCCAGTGGGTGCCACCTGAGAGGCAACCACACCTTCATGTTAATAAAATAAAACAAGAAAGGATGAAGGCCCCTTGAGGGGTGTGAGGTGTGGTGGCTCAGGCCAGGGGACCCAGTAGCAGCTCCGTGCCTCTCACAGCCTTGCGAAATGTCACTAAACCTCACTGAGCTCTTGCTGGCTCACCAGAAAATTGTGGCGATGTATGCCTGGAAAAGCCTGGCACAGCCTGGCACCTACCAAGTAGGCTTAATGGCAAGTATCAGGTTCATTTCTGAGCAGCCACGTGGACACCGGTAGAAGTTGAGGTACAGAAGTCTAGGGTCACGAGATAAATCATCTCAGGTCTGATGAATGATAGTATCTCACCATGCAACGCTTCTTTGCACGTAATTAAGCAACTTTTGATAGCCTCTAAAAATTGTGGTAAAAAACACATTATGGGAAATGTACCACCTGAACAATTTTTACATGTACCGTTCAGTCACGGTAAGTACATTCATATTGTTGTGCAACCAGTCTCCAGAACTTTTGCATCTTGTAACAATGAAACTCTTTCCCAGTATGCGACTGCTCTCCATTTCCTCCTTCCCCCAGCCCTTGGCAACCACCATTGGACTTTCTGTCTCTTGAATTTTACTACTCCAGAGGCACCTTCTCTAAGAGGCACCACACAGTATTCGTTCTTTTGGGACTGGCTTCCTTGACTACATAGTATCCTTCAAGGTCATCCATGTGTCAGAATTTTACCCCTTTTTACAGCTGACTAATATTTTGTTGTATGCGTATGCCTCGTTTTATTTCCCCTTTTACTCATCAATGGGCACTTGTATTGCTTCCTCCTCTCGGCTATTGTGAAGAATGCTGCCGTAAAATGGGTGTACGACTATCTCTTCAGGACGCTGTTTTCAATTCTTCTGGGTACCCAGAAGTGAAATAGCTAAAACATATGATAATTCTATTTTTAATTTTTGTGAAACTGTCACACTGTTTTCCACAGGTGCTGCATAATTTTAGAACAGTGTGCAAGAGGAAAAAAAGCAGTGTACAAGAGTTCCAAGTTCTTCCCATCCTCACCAACACTTGGGTTTTTTTGTTGGATTTTTTCAAAAATTAGAAGCCATTCTGGTAGGTGTCAGGTGATATCTCACTGTGGTGTTGATCTGCATTTCCCTAATGATTTTTGACATTGAGCAAATTTTCCTAAGTTTGTTGCTCCTTGTATATCTTCCTTGGAGAAATGTGCATTCAAGTCCTTTTCCCATTTTTAATCAGGTTATATGTTGTTTTGTTTTGTTCTGTTTTTTTTTTTGTTTGTTTGGTTGGGGTTTTTTTGCCCTTGAGTTTAAGGATTTGGCCTTTGTATGATTTCCAAATATTTTCTCCTGTCCTGCAGGTTGCCTTTTCACTCCAATTGTCTTTTGATGCACAGAAGTTTTAATTTTGATCTAATTCAATTTACCGGTTTTTTCTTTTGTTGCTTATGTGTTTGCTCTCAGATCCAAAAAATCATTGTCTAATACAATGTCATAAAGCTCTTCCCCTATGTTTCTTAAGGAGTTTTAATGGATTTATCTCTTATAATTAGTTCATTGATCCATTTTGAGTTAAATTTTGTACATGGAGTAAAATAAGGATCCAACATAATTTTTTTGCATGTGAATATCCACATGTATCCCAGCACCATATTTTGAAAATGCTATTCCATGAATTTACATTTATCCCATTGCATTGTCTTGACACCATTGTTAAAAATCTGGACTCTTTAAGTTCTGTTCCATTGATGTGTAGACCTATCCTTAATCTACTACCACACTATCTTGATTATTGTGGCTTTGTAGTAAGTTCTGAAATCAGAATATGTTTATCCTCCAATTTGGTGCCTTCTCAAGGTTGTTTTGGTTATTATGGTCTCATGCATGTCCATATAACTTTTAGGCTCATATTATCAATTTCTCCAATAATAGCCACCTGGCATTTTTTGAATTGAGTAGAATCTGTAGATCAATTTGGAGAGAACTGCCTCTTAACAAAAGTGTTTTCTGATTGATGAACTTGAGGTTTCTTTTAATTTATTAGGTTTTTAATTTCTTTCAACAATGTTGTGTAGTTTTCAGTGTACAAGCCTTTTATTTTGTTAAATATATTGTGATGTACTTTGCTCTCTTTTATGCTGTTTGAATGAAATTGTAATCTTTAATTCATTTTTGAATTGTTCATTGCTAGTGTATAGAAATAGAGTTGACTTTTATATATTTGTCTGGTGTCCTACAAACTTGATGAACTCACTTACTATTAGTCGTATAATGTTTTTGTGGATTCCTTAGGATTTCCTATATGCAATTTCATATCATCTGTGAATACAAATACTTTTATTTCTTGTTTTCTACCTGGATGACTTTTCTTTTTCATTACTACTAATCCTAGCTACAGCCCTCAGTACAGTGTTGAATAGACATGATGAGAATAAATACACGTACACTTGTCTTATTCCTGGTCTTAGTGGGAAAGCCTTTTGGCATTGAGTCTGAATTTAGCAGTGGGCTTTTCATAGATATTCTTTATCAGGTTGGAAAAATTCAATTTTATTCCTAATATGTTCATTCTTAGTTTTTTTTTTATCATGAAAATATTTTGGATTTTGTCAAATGGTATTTCTGCATTAACTGAGATGATCATATGGGATTTGCCCTTTTATTCTAGTCACATGGGATTTTATTAAATCAACTTGCATTCATGAGATGAATCTTACTTGGTGATGGTAGATAATACCTTTTACATTATGGTCAATTTAGTTTACTAGCATTTTCTTGAGGAGACTTATGACTTTATTAAAAAAATTGGGTATAATTTTCTTTTGTTGTGATATTTTTGTCTGATTTTACATCAGGGTAATAATGGTCTCATAGAATGAGTTGAATTATGATTATGTCCAGTTTATCTGTTTTGTTTTGTTTTTTCTGTGATAGATTTGGGTCCATAAAGGAAGTAAAGATGGTAGAAGCATCACACTAAAAAAACTTGCCGACCACAGGATCTGGAAAATGATTTTCCATTTCCTTCTAAAATTTTTATTTCTTCAGCTGTTACATTTAAGTCTATGATTCATTTTTAGTTGAGTTTGTGTATGACATGAGTTGAAGGTCTACGTTCATCTTTTTTCATGTGGGCAATCAATTGTCCCAGTACATCATAGAACAGACAATCCTTTCCCCCAATGAATTGCCTTAGCAACTTTGTCAAAAATCAATTAAATATAAATAAAAAGATTTATTCCTAGCTTTCAATTCTGTTCCATTAATCTATATATATTTCCCTATGCCAGGACTACTGCTCTAGGAGATATTGATATGGAAAATTATTCATCCATTCTGCAACCTCATGACTCCTATGAACTTAAGGATGACAGCTACGGAAGTGGGATTCAGGCAAGTATTTTTATAAATAGTTCACAAACAGGACAAGAGGACTTTGATAAGGTATGTTGGATTGAGGTGATCTAATCTTACATATCACTAATTCTAATACATCTGTAAACTGGTTCTGCAGAGAATATGATACAATTGGCCTCGTTCATAAGACTGTTTAGGGTGGTAGCCAGTTGATTGCTCCACTTTTCATGTTGATATAGTTCTTTTCACAGGTTTTCAGAGTTGATGCTCCTCCTTCTTACTAGAATCAAACCAAAAAAATTGACTTGTAACAGTGACCATGCCAGAAATACACTGACCATAACAATCTCTGTAGTAGTCATTAGTTCTGTTGACAAACATTCTGATTCCCCTCTCCTTCCAGGCACATGTAGGACTGCATTTCCCTGGACTTCTTAAAGTTAGTCATGGTCATAACGTGAACGGGCCGACAGCATAAGTGAGCGGTGGAAGTGTGAAGAGCCTCGATGGAACTCGCCAAGTTCCCTTCTCCTGCCTTGTGGAACTCTGTGATGAGGTGGAGCCTCCATCATCCTGGGTCTCTGAGCGCCGAACAGAATCCCCTGACAACCCCCTTTAATCACTGTGGCTCGAGCAAGACATACATGCTAGTTGTGTTAAGCCACTGAGATATCAGGGATGGCCCTGTAACATAACCCGGCTTATTACAACCGCTACAAACTACACTCAGTGTGAGGTCACTGCCTAAAAATCTGTCACGTCTTTGGTTTGGAACCTGCTCTAGGAGTCTAGGCTTGGGATCCAGTCCTAGCTCTGCCAGAACAGCTCAGGTCCCGTTACTCTGACCGGGCGTGGGTCCAGTCTCCCTTCAAGACGCACGTATTTGCCCACTCCACTGGGGGGAAGAGCTTGTTCCCAGGAGCCAGGTTGCCTGGAGTGGAATCCCAGCTCTTACGCAGACGGGGACTTTGGCCACGTTCCTGAATTTATGTGCCAGTCTTCGCATACGTAAAATGCAGACAACAGTGTCTACACCCTATGGGGATAAATACAAAGCGTTTAGCATCTAGGAGAATGCCCGGCAGGTAGTGCTTTGAGCATATGGGCTAGAGAGGGCCAGGGCTCTTGCTGGACCCTTCACTCCTTCCCAGTCAGCCATCCAGAGCATGCTGGGCGCCCCCATT